TCATCGCAATTAAAGGAAGGCAAGAATCGATCGAGACGTACTGCGATACGCAAGCTTAGCTGCGTGTGATTTATTGCGTTTTTTTTTTATTTATATTCGTTTAAACCTTATCTCCAGATGAAATTTTACGTCGGCATAATTAGCGTGTCAACGTATTATACATCGCCCTCGCTTCGTTCGAGGGAATGAGACACGAGTTTAGATTCTGACGTGAAATATCGCGATCATGCGTAAGAGGATCGATAGATCAACACGGTTTCTCTCATACACACACTCGTATACGCTCGCATACAATTTCGCACTAATTTATATATACGTATAAATCTATGTGTATGCTCTATCGTACTGTGGGGCACTTAGAAAACTCGTTAATTCGTTCTCCTCATCCTCGCGTCGACTCTGCACCGGAGATCCAGGCGGGCCATGTGCGTTTGTGAGACTTAAAAATAATATAATATATATATTTTTTTTTTCTTTCTTCCTTTGTTATTCGAGGATTGCTTCGTTTCGAAGGGGAAAAATAAAAAAATAGTGCGCGCGCAAACGTATCTCTCACCCCCTTCTAACATTTTAATCTACTTTCGACAAGCGGACCCGGGGTCCTCTTCAGCGGAGGAGTAAAGCTCGGTAGAGGAGATCTCTTGTAGAGAGAGAGAGAAAACACATGAATTAAATCGCGGTTGGCAAGAATTTGTTTCTGCGAAATTGAACATCTCTGCTCTTAAGCCCGTTTTTCACCAACGTAGATAAACTTTAATTTCGGTTCAACTTATTCTTCGTCCTTTTCTAATCCTCAGAACTAGAAAAGGTAATGAATAAGTTGAGCTGAGATTAAAGTTAATTTACGTTAATAGAAATATAGATTAGATGTACACTGAAAAAAATGCATGTAATTTTACATGGAAATTACATGTCTATTACCGGAAAATTACCTAAATATGATTGGAAATTTACAAGTAAATTTACAGTAAATTTCCAATCATATTTATATAATTTCAGTAATTTTCCAGCCATAAACATGTAATTTCCCTGTAAAATTACATGCATTTTTTTCAGTGTATATTTAATAATCCTAAGCAAGATATTCTTCCTTCTAAATCTTCGAATATGGGAACATTCAGATTCCTTAAATCGCGACTCGAAGACGGAGAGAGAGAAATCGTTTGAAACGAGAAATATTCAGGACTCACTCATCGATCCGTCTCTCTTTTTTTTTTACAAATGCATCAACCGTTAATAAAGCTTTCGCGGATAAACACCCTGTTTCCTGTTCCTTTCGATACCCTTTTATCGCCACACGATGCGCTATCTTCTAAAAGAAAAAAGGATAGAAATGAAAAAAAATGGAAGGAAAAAGAATAATATGTTATATGTATACGATACGTACATACATATACATACATATATAATATATATATATATATATATATGTATAAAAATGTGCGCAACATTCTTCTCGAGATAATTTGGTAAGGATTAAAAATATAATATTACATCAGCATACAAATGCCTATGTACGTGTGCCTATGTATGTGTATCTGTGTGTGAGTGAAAATATGTATGTATATATTGTGTTTTTCGCGTGAATAATTATATATCGCTGGGGAATGACGACATCAAGATTCATCTCGCACGTGCGACTTTTAAAACGCGCGCACGCGCAAAACACTCTCGAATCGCGGAGCGTTACAATTTTTTTATATTAATTTCATTTCATATATATATATATATAATATATAATAAAAATAAAAATAATATTACAATATATATATATAATTACAAATAATTAGTTTTATCCGTGATATTCTATTATAATATTTCACTAGATTTTTTTTCTTAATAATGTCCCGCGTAGGTTCTTCACCTCTCAATAGCGAGCCATAAAAAAAAATGCGGATGTGCGGAGGGCGGTCATATAATGCTCGATCTATTTGATTCTTATCACAGGAGTCCGCCGTTCCGACCGCCATTCTCTCACATCACTTCGACACTCGATTACCTTCAAATTAATAATTCCTACGCGAACGGCAAAGTGGCGGATAAACAAGCCGTTGAGCATAATGATATAAGTCATATTTTTGCGGAACAAAAAAGACTGTCTAAAAGTACTTAAATGTAAAATATTACATGAAATCCACACATCTGTATTACGAAATCTTTTTCTGCATACATAAAGAAACAAATTACAAATTTTATGTCGAAATAAACTATAAGCTATTTAATTGAACCTGATATATTTGTTGCATTAATTTCATTAAACTGGAACTAGTCTGACTAAGAATACGAAATTATTAATCCGTTATATTACTGACTTGTACCATTATTTCGTTCGATGACTCATAATGTTCGACAAACGTGGAATCCACGTAATTGGAGAACCAACTGATTTTGTTCCCTTATAACGTGTACTCTTCCTATAGTCTTTTCACAGTCTTTCTTCTTCTTCCCTCATTCGTCGTATAAAGTCTGACTCATACACAATATGCTTCATTTTAAACGCCGAAAGCGTAAGCGTCACGTTGCATTCTTATCACACTCTCCTTATCCTTATCGCCACTATCCTTATTTACACCTTACGCCGTAACGAATGTTCTTCATCTTCCATGCTATTAATTCTACCGTAGATTAATATTACAGTGCTACGGCTCGGTTTCGCGATAACGTAACTCCCTCCGGTACTCACTCAGGCCATTATTACTCGTTAATTGCTATTTCCATTTGATTGTATCGCGTTACATGTTGCACCAAAAGGATCGTATTCGCTGTCAGCGAAACCAAGCTCAAGAACACTCTTCGTTAAATCTCGCATATAACATGAGCCAAGTTAAACCCTTGTCCGGAATTATGGACTTACCACCTGATCCCGTACTTTACGATCCCCTCGCGGCATTTGACGATTATAAAAAAATAATAATATAACATCATTAGAATAATGCGTAAAATGCATTTAACGCTTAACGCGCAGTTAATTACACATTAAAACCTTCCATTTTAGTCAACATGACGTACGGGATTGCGGTTTATCTGCAAATCCATCTGCGACAATGAAACATCACGGGGACAAGGATCCTGATTGTTCGTGCCTTCTACCGCGCACTCGAAATTCACATTATAAGATCCCGAGTCACTCATGATAAACATTTAATAAATATTCAGTCCCGTTTCCACTCGTATACTCCGTTCGGTCCATCTTACGTATTTCGGGTGTGTGTAATTAACATACCTCTCTCTCTCTCTCTCTCTCTCTCTCTCTCTCTCTCTCTCTCTCTCTCTCCCCACGATTGTTTCGAATTCGCACATAACGAAATCACCGCGATGCATCATCGACATGTGCACGCAATGCAGCAATCACGCCGTTGATCGTTTAATCGACGATTCCATCTTTGGCCGTTTATCAAACGATGCATGGCAAAAAATGGACGAACTAGAATAACTTTGCGATATCGCATTAAATATTCGGATAAAAAGGACGAACAAATTTTCGGATATTCTCGGAGAGTTGGCAGTAATATTTTTATAAGAGAGTGTATCTAAAGTTCGGAAAGATTTCAATCCGATTGGAATGAGTTATATTTCCGTCGCGATAGCGTATTTGCTCGCGATAATTTACTTCTTCAAATTCGTATTTTTAGCCGGCAGTAGAATAAGCTCGACCGTGTATCTCGTAATTCGGAAAGATTCGGTCCCCAGACTGGAAATAACCGTGTTATCCTACTACCGGTAATCTACTTAGGTAAAAACTCGAATCTCGACAATTGGCAGTAAGAGTCTGATATAACGTTAACGGTACATCTAAAATTCGGAAAGGTCCTCATAAATGGCGCAATGATCCGTAACAGCGTACTATACAACAGTATTACATTCATAATGTCTATCCAACGTAAAAATTCCTTCCCGATACTTCTCTCAGAAATAGAAATTTCAAAAGCAATTTCGTACCGGTTTAAGGATGTACGATCGATCACTTGTAGGGTAGGTGAGGAGGGTACGCTATTATTCTACACTGATAATATCAATCTAATATATGAAAATCTTTTAATAATAAAAGACTAATTTATGATTTATTAAAATTAAATGATAACATTGATTGCTAATTTTTAATTATGAATCATATAATATTAATATATATTCTATTATTAGAAAATGCAAGTAATTTAATGTTTTATGTTCAATGATTATCGATAACTTGGCAACGTTGCATTCTGAAAATGAGGTTGGCATTCCTATTCGAGTGCACAATAGTAATTGCAAACATAAATTATAAAGAGTTTTTTGCGAATGTTATGTATTTAAAATTCTTACATTACAGGAACAAATTATAGACGTTTTAGTCTATGTATATCATAGGACCCAAGCTGTCGATGGAGCTCATATTTAGAACCCGATCGGTCTAGCCTTTATTTAAAAAACCGAGAATTTCGGATGTTCGGATGCCCGCAACTCGCTGACTCGCGTAAAGACACGCGTGTGTCTTGATTTTAACCGCAACTGTCAATTACCAGTGTCACTAGTAATTGACACACACACACAGTTGAGGTTAAAATATTATTTTCATATAAGTGTTTGACAGTTAAAAATATAACAATAGGTTGTAAGCAAACATATATTTAATCATCACACATGTGTCACAGGATGAAGCAAGTTGCAATCTAACGTAATGTAGGAAGTCAACAGCGTTGCCAAGTTTTCCGCGTATATTTCTTTAGATGCTCAAATAGGCATGCTTTCATCAGCTTTTTGCTTGTGTACAAATAAATTACACGGCAAATAGAGTTAAAATTCTTGCAAGGATGTAAAAAAAGGTCTGTTCTAACTATTTATATATTTTTTATGTGAATCGAAGCATTTTAAAAATAAGTAATTTGTAATATATCAATCATTCAATGCATATGTCATATGACACCATGCATAGAACTCTAACTTTAGCTCTTTCTTATTTAAAAATTACACGGTCAATCGGTTTGAAATTTTAATATAGTATTAGTTTTGTTTTAAATAATATTCTGTGTAATTTTTAGACAGATCGAAGCATTTTGATTTTTCGATCGTACCTCCTTAAAAGAGTGGAATACGCTTATATACTTCGAAAGGAAATTTCCCTGCAAAATGATCACGCACGTCACGAGCGGTGAAAGAATACACCTGAGTGATTCATTTCGAGAGAGCAATAGGAGAAGGAAAGTGAAATCGCTCCCAGATATTTATTGAAATTCAGTTCAGCGGTCATAGAACTACTTTTCTTAGTTCTAAATAACAGTCGAAATTCAAGCCCCTTTTCTGTTTCTGGGACGAAAGCTACTGTTGCAAGAGTTTCTCATGAAATATGAGATTTCGTCAAGTATCTACAGTCTCTCGTTCAAATAGCAGCGGATAACGAATCTCTCGTACGATTTCTCCCGCTCTTGCTCATTTATGGCAAGATCGAGTAGCTATGGCCACGAATATCCATGTACTCGCTAGGTCGATCAACTAACGTGACTTCAGTACTCGCTAAATCGACTTAATGCACGCAATCGATTTAGCGAATGCTGAATGGAGGGGTCCGAGGAATGGATCGCAAGACGCCGTTCACGAGAATATCCTCGCCAACTTCTCGAGACGTCTTTGCGGAAATCCGCAAGATTAACGGAACGATCCGAGTCCATCGAGTAATCCTCCTTCCTTCGTTCGTCGCTATAAGGATTGCGATTCGCAATCGAGTAATATTTACACAACGTTATGTTCGCAAAATCCACACGATCACAGCAAGTCGTTGAAGCAACCGCCGAACCACATCACCACTATCGGCATCAGATACGTCGTCAGCGCCCTGAATAGCGACATCTTCGGCCTGTTGTCTTCTCCGCTATTCACGGAGATAGTCTGGTTGTTGCTCGTGCCCGTGCTGGTCGTACTAGTGCCCTGATGCGGTTCGATGTCCACTCGCGGCGGTGTCTCAACCTCGTGAACGACTGGTGGCGACGGCTGCTTCGGTGGTTCTGGCTCCGCTTCCGCATGTGGGCCTTCGTAACCAGAGCCTTCGTTGAAGCCATCCTCGTCATCAGTAAACGCACCGTCGCCCGAACCACTACCGGAGCCATACCACGTTTCGTCTGTAAAATCGCAGAAATAGTTATTATCGATGATACAAAGGATATTAGTATCAGAGAGAATTATTATGTGTTATTGATAACCGCCAGATAATCACCAGTATCGATCCAATCAACGTCCTGTCCGTTAAATGCCAATTTCAACCTGTTCGTGATGGTGGTCAGCGCGAAAACTTGATCCCTCACGATAGTTGGTCTTGATCCTATACTGCGAACCTCCGGATTCATCATCTGAGACTCGCCATCGGACGACACCGGATATATATACCTAAAACAATACAAACAGATATATGTCGTGTATCGATTTACTATGCGATGTAACATACAAAGACAACGTTATTGTGCGTTCAAAACATGTATGTAGAAAATTGAATTATTAATTTATCTATACAGAGAAAAATTTCTGATTAAAAGTAGACGAACTGAGAATATTCTGATTATATCAGAATTCTATTCAGTTATCTTAACTAGAATTATAATGGATTCAATCAGAAAATTTTGATTAGTCCAATTTTCAAACCAACAGAATTCTAGAATAGAATAGAATTTATTCACTTCAGCGTACAAATTGCCAAGAAGGGGACTTGGTTTACAATTTCTCTCCTTAACAATCTCACCAGAATTCTAATTAATATAGACTCTTTTTCCAGTGTAGCAAATGAATTTCTCATAACTGAATACCAACAAATAGAATTAACCACAAATAAATTTTTATTCTCTCTTACTTGTCTACGTGTGTGCCGTTCCAACATTCTTTCGTATTACTGGGTGGCACAACCAGACCGTCGTTGCACATCCGGTATGGTAAATAGACCCAGAATTGTCGGGAATCACGCACTCGCTGACGTATTTCTTTCACTAGCTTCTCCAAGCTTGTAGCGGAGTCATCCTCCGGTGAGGTTTCCTGGTCAAAGTTCAGGGATTCCATTTCTAGTTCTCGATTGTCCCTACGTTTACGTCTACCCAGCACCGGCCGGCCGCAACCGGTAAATACGCGTTGCGACACGTCTTGACTGCTTTCCTGGAAGTTCATGATCGCTTCGGAGATCTTCAGGTTGATCGGACGCACCAGTACTTCGATATTGAACGGTCCGAGCAATCGATCGGCGATCTTGTCCACTGCCTCTACATTCGGAAATCGAAGAGCGAATTAAAACTCAAGATCGTTCTTAGCGGAAAAAAAATTTTTGTGCGAAATGTGGGTTATGAGAAATATTCTATTTTCGTAACTTTTATGAAATATTTTAAATCAGAAAAATATTAAATATTAGTGTTAATATTGTTATTGCTTTGTTTTCAAAATATTTTTTGATAAAAGATTCGTTGTTCGTATTTATGGCAATTCGAGCGAAATGCAATCATTTCCGTAAAAAAACCCCGCGTAACTTCCGAAGGCTTTCAACAACAGATTGTGCGCGTCGATGTGATCCGTATTCTCTCGAAATATAATAGCCGATACTCGAACGAGAACAAGAGAGAGAAGGGGGGAGAAATTGCTCACCAACGAACTGATTCCAGTCAGTGTCGAGTGCCGCGTATTGCGCCAAGCAACCCTTCATCACGTTGGCACACATATCGCCACACGCCAGTACGTTGTCCGATATACCGCTGCAGGCTGGACAAGCTGTCATCCTGGTCAAGGCAGCTGCGCAATCCGCCGACGGTTTGCTCAGCTACGGCCAACAAAGAGTTCGTTTTAGAGAATCTATGCACGATTGCGGTTGCAGAATGATGATGTAATAGCCATAAACATGCGAAGAAATTTGAAGAAATAGTATAGAACAAAGTGAAGAGAATCCGAACGAAATAAAGTAAAAAGAAATAGAAAACTAAAGTGAAATAGATAAATTTTCTATAAATTTTTGTACTATGTGTGCTCTAAATATTGTATAAATTATAATTTGATAATTTTAGCTTCTTCAAACGAATATAAAATAAACGAAGATACTTTTTCTTTCTCATAATATATCTAAAAACAATAAAAACTGGAAAGTTAAATTTTTCCTAAATTGAAGCCTGAACTTCAATATTTATACAACAAATATTTGAATCGATTAGATATTGTGTGATTTGAGTGCAGCAAACATTAAATCAAGTTATATCAATTTGGATACGTTTACATGATATATATTTTTTTTTACCGATTGCATATTTTTCAACACATTCGAAGCGACAGTCAAAGCTTGGCTGAATGCTCTCGTGGCTACGAACGACCGTTTAATTTGCACGCCCAATTTCTGTGGCACGTCCCCGAACGGTCGCATCTCCTTCATGTGTTCGCCCACGCACTCCAGATACTTATTGTCGAAGTTGTACTGACTGTTGAGCACGGTAAACATCTTCTGATAAAGGGTGTTGAAGAAATTATCCATAGCATCGTTAAGGTCCACCTGAAATATACGTAATATTTGATTTAATTACATAAATTCAATAATTACATTTAATTACATTTAATTATATAAAGTGAGACTAGTTTATAAATTTAATAAAATTACATTTAATTACATAAAGTGAGACTACACTGAAAGAAAAAATTGGTTACTGCAACAATTTAGATAGTAAAATATGGCATAGCATTTTTATATGGCTGCAGCAACCAGTTTTTGGTTGTAGCAGCAAATTTTTAGTTGCGTTAGCCTATTGAAATACTGACATTGCGGATAGGCTAACGTAATTAAAAATTTGCTGCTACAACCAAAAACTGGTTGCTGCAGCCATATAAAAATGCTATGCTATATTTTACACTTACTATCTTTTTTTTTCAGTATAGTTTATAAAGTTGCGTATATTTAATTTATTAGCGTTAAGATATAATTTGTATACTGAAGAAGACTCAAAATGAGGGTCGAAACGTTTATAAATGTTATTTTAATAAAATAAAATTAATGTACACCTGAACACACACAAGTTGTGTGTTTACTTTTACTCTTTCATTGATTTAATTACATAGTAGTTCTTGATTATAAATAGGAATGTATCAGTATTGTACGATTAATATTGTACGTAGACACGCAGACACAGACAAGTATATACGTATACTCTCAATGATACAATTAAAGCAGTTTTTATTACATAAATAAGCGAGTTTAATACTTTTATTTGATTATTTATCCGTTAATAAATCCTGAACATATAATAAACTCTAATTAATTATAATTGACTCCACTACATCTACGACGTGTTGCAATAAATTCATGAAAAGTCTAAACGCTGCTTTCCTTCCGCAACTTTGATCTTGGAAGCGTTGAAAACGGTGCGATTCGTGTAATGCGATAGGTTAATATTCGCGATAAAATTAGTGACAGCAGCGTTGCAACGATAATGCATTCACGCGATCAGGCACTTCGCCTTCTGTCGTATGCGGAACAGGTTCGAAACGGCGCCGGTGAATAATTCGAGAGGCGATTTGAATGACAATCGACAAAGCATCGTCTCGTCTCGATCGTCGTTTTCCTTCTCCTCTTCCACCTCCGCCTCTCTTCCTTTTGACACCGCGTGACGAATTGTACGACCGTGTATCTGTCACCTACGTCTCTTCCAGCCAGAAGCTATTTTCAACCCTACAGCGCAAGTATTGAATGCGTGGAATCCCGAGAAGTCCATTTCAGTTCTTTTATCTCTCACGGGACTGTAGTCCGATAGTCCGGTTGTTTTCTTAATACCCTTCCGTTTGCATCTATTTGATAGCCATCCGGAGTTTGAAGGAACGACGCGATATTCTTTCTAAATCTTTCAGTGTCATTCTGAGTATGACATACCTGGCTTTCTTTTTCCAATGCTTTTTCATTGCTTTTTTCATCGCCTATAACTTTTTTTATTAATAAAGATACATATAATTGCTTGCTATTCGTTATATTCCTTATGATCCATGTCACATGGTGATCCACGCTGGACTTTTTCTTCAAACCGTTTGACTATATAAAAATAATAATTTTAACTATAATATAAATATTAACAGGGCATAGAACCAATATTACAACGAACAATTTTAATTAAAATAATAATATTACAAACGTTTCGACTCCGATCGGGTCATTTTCAATACAAAACAACTTTATCATAAAAAACCGGTCACATTGGTAGAATCTTAAAAAATATATAATAAAAATAATTATAACTTATCCTAATGTCGCTAGCATGATTAGGATAAGTTATAATTATTTTTATTATATATTTTTTAAGATTCTACCAATGTGACCGGTTTTTTATGATAAAGTTGTTTTGTATTGAAAATGACCCGATCGGAGTCGAAACGTTTGTAATATTATTATTTTAGTTAAAATTGTTCGTTGTAATATTGGTTCTATGTCCTGTTAATATTTATATTGTTTTATACATATTGAGCCTTATAATTACATTATTTTAACTATATATATATAAAAAATGGTAATTATAAAATAATTTACTATTTTATATCACAAGTGAATACATAATTATGATATATGATGTTTGATTGTATGATGTATGATTACTACATTAAGTCTTCTCCTTTATAATAACTTTTGAAATTTTTTAAACTATTATGAAATGTTATTTAACATATATACAACAAACGCGAAAAACAAAACCGTATCTATACTGAGAAAAATGTTTGAAAATGGGCAAACCGGAAGATTCTGATTAAATCAATCAGTATTCTGGTTATCAATTAAAATTTTAGCAGATTTAAAATTAGAAAATTTATTATTTAAATCTAGTTGAGATAATCTGAATTTTAATTGATATTATCTGATTTGTCCATTTTCAATCAAATTTCTTCTCAGTGTAATATCTGAATTTTAAGTGGCATATTTTGTATGCCAATTTTAAATGACAATTGGTGACACGGCTTAGTCAGGTCACTTAAAATTGACATACGAAAAGAGCTATTTAAACTAAAATATCTTAAAATTTAGCTAAATCTGACAATCTGATTTTATTAAATCATCAAAATGATCACAGAAAATTCAAGCATGATGAACAAAAAGTTTCGACATTCTAGCAACCAGTTTAAACGTCCTACATAATTATTTTGATGATCGAACAAAATTATTTTCAGATCTAATCTAATTGATATTGTATATCTAATTGAATTTTTATGTATTTTAGTAAAATCACCTTCCTGTATACGGAATATGTTAAATGTCTGATGTTTCGATCGAAGAAAAAAGTTTACAATATATTCATTTTTATGAAAGTTACATATATACGAGTATAAACAATCGAATGGATTGGATATGTCCAAGTGTGCTATACTTATAGTGTGACATTGAAGGATAAATTCCGCTTTTCAAACAATTCTTTCTATTCTGTCTGTGCACCACAGATACGAATTCTACAATTTCTTCGTATTTCCGCGTCTTACTTTTATCTGTTACATCGTTGCTCGACGTTAAATCACCCTCCGTGGGAGGTGGATTGCACCTTCTTCACCTTCTTCAAATCGGGACTTTATTACATCTCATGCTTACCTCGAATTCTTCCTTCGTTCGTCTGCTTAATAATACGTTTCTCGATGCGAAACAGCATAACCGAGCGCGATCGTGTTTCGAAGTAAAATTAAATTCCATCCCGGAGCAGTCCAAAGCGGCCACGCGCGATTAAAGAGGGATGGCAGGCTTGGATAAATTCAATAGGTCGCGGTGTAATTGCAGAAGCCGTTCGATAGATAGGTAGATAGGTACACGAAGGACGCATACGGGACCCTTCCGGTGACGGGATATTTTCGCTTTGGTGGTTGCGGGTCCCTTTACCCGGGACAATGCTGGCGATGTCAAAAGCACATTGATTAAATCCGCCTTCGCACGTGATTCTATCCTCTCCCAACTTTCAAGCTTCAGGAGTGCGGACCGGACATAGTGGACAAAGGGTTGCTCCCGCCGTGATTCCAATAGAAGTTTAAAGCGTTAAAGGGAGCTGGAAGTCAACTCACGTCACACGATTATCCTCCGATCACTCGGAATGATGTTCCTCGAAGAATTCAGGGGTCGATAATAACGTATTAATTTTCTTGGGCTATTTTAAAAATAAATTCATAAAAACTCCTTTTTATGAAACAATCCTCTTTTTTTTTTTAGATTCAGCTCTTTTCTTCGTAAAACTTCTCTTAATTCTTAAATAAAAGTGATAATTAAGCCTTTGAGAACGAGAGTTTTCTAACAAAGAAATTTAAAGAAAATCTCGTTTCGAAGGGTTTTCAGAGTCGCCGAATTCAATTCTGTCTTCAGAATTTTAAAATTTTAATTTCAAAAGAATAATCCGAGGAATAATCTGATTATCGTAAAATTAGGTTTTAGAAATTTCTTGGTATCGCTGAATTTGAATGGCTAAAATCAAGTTAAAATCAAGTTTTATGTATAATAATTAGATTTTTTTAAATTTCTGTCTGTGTCATATTAAATTCTCTATTAAGAATTTATTTTTGACTTCAGATTCGAATAAAGAATTATTAAACTGTCTCGAATAAGGCGATACATAGTCTAAGCATATCTTTTTTTCATTGCAATTTGCTCCAATCTAAGATGGAAGTCTATAAGCGATTGTTAATTTCTCCTTTTAACGAGATTTAAACTCTTTAGTTATGAAGGTAATTTTATTTTTTTAAATTTTATCCTCAGTTGCATAATAGTGTTATCTCCGACTGTTACGGTTTCTTTATACGGGTTTTATAGATCTTTTTATGTTAACTTCTGCACTGCTGTAATGCTTCCAAGGCTTTTCACGACTACTATGAGATTTTTGGACTCAACATTTTTATAAGAAAGGACACCGTTTACAAGAACATAAGCAAAATGTATTATTAATTGAGTTTTGGATTATATTGAAGGACTAACAAGAATGATTAGGTCTTGGCAAACATTTCAGCAAATATTGGGTATTCACATCACTTTATCATGTATTAGGGTAACTCCGGTGTATATACGCCGCGCTGGGATTTACGCCGCGGAAGTCAGAAAAAATAGAAAGAGTAGGGGTAATTTTCTCGCAATTATTCTGTTACATGCCTTTATATTATATTAATATTGAGTTATAATTTCAGCTTATTACTGTTAATATTAACGAAATTATTGTGAGTTGAATCGATTTGTCACTGTGTGTGTAACAAGTAGCATCATCATAATTTATAATCTACATAAAATGATTACTGTGAGGCGTGTAAAAGACTTAGTGATTATTTCGTGATACATACGTGTAGAGAAATAGTAAAGCATGTTGTATAGCAAAATACAAGTGCTTTGCTTTCGTATTCTTTGTT